CGGAATTTCTCCCTGAGATGTATGTACTTGAGATTCTCACTCAAAACTGTGTTTACCGCAAGCGGTAATGATCTCAGGGGAAGCGAGTCGGCTGACGTATTACGGCTCGCGCTGTTGAGCCAAAGGATCGAGAACAGTTAAAAGGCACTGAAGATTTGAAAATGGCACTGGCTAGCAGCCGAAAACAATGGAAATTAAAGACATGCCAACTCTGGCTAGAAACCTAGAACGTTAGAACCCTTCTTGACCGGGATGGCAGCGAGGGTCCCTAGCTAGGAAGCTATCCTACTGACCTAACTAATTTCAGCGAAACTTGTTTGGTTGATCACCTAAAATTCCACGTGGATCACTAATCTACAGCAGAAAGTGAACGGAAGCAAACAGTCGGATTTGCAGTGGCCGAGCATGCGAAGAGAAAGAGAAAGCACAAACAAAACAGTATCAAAGCGAATACAGTGACTATCTGGCTCATAGTGCGGCTTTCTTCCCACAGAAATTACTCGTTTGCCACCCGGATATCCCCCTCCTCCCCAGAAGACAATGTTGCTGTAATTTAATTGGAAAGGCCAGCGTTCCGCTGAAATTTGAAGGAATCATCGAACGATGCTAGTGCTTTGACATAAAGTAACCACTTCTGATGTTTACTGTTGTGACATCACGCACACAATAGGTGGCCCACGCTGCCGTCCGGGGAAGACTGCTATTCAGTCTACAGGAGACTCATGTGGTTGGCCGCTCCAAAACCCTGGATTAGAATACACACATTTAAGAGAACCTAGTCACTTTGCTGGTGAACGCAAAGCCTGGCTCTTCAGCATCTGTGGCTTCAACGGTAATGTCAATCGAGTCCAGCACCTTGCACTCCAACTGTTCTCCCCCTCCAAGAAGTAAACATCCGGCAGTGGTGGTCTCGTATACCTCCGGTTTTCTGTATACTCACAGCATTGATCCCGTTTGTCTACAAACCCTCTGTTGTTGTTTGCCTGATTTCCAACTTTTTTGTAAAAAAAACGTATCAACAACTAGATTAACATTCCTGTTGTGTATATGCCAATGGCACCACTCAATTTTCTTTTCAATTGAGTGTCGACCTCAAACGCACTGTACCATCCGAACTTCGCATTCAAGACTCTGAACAGTTAGCTGTTTCACCGCACATAGAAAGAGCAAAATGTTTTCGATCAACTTTACGCTGATTTTTTTCTACACTAAATCTGGATCTCTGAAGTGACTCATAACAGACCGCAGTTCTCGTCTGAACAAACCAGCCCCCATCACATTCAGACAACTCATCTTCCCCCGTCAACTCTACGGGCCACTGTCACTGTCTGTTCCAGTTTAATTTCAACTATCCTTCACACACAACCCGTTCTGAGCTAATTGCTTGCCCATTAAAACGACAGGTGGTGATTCTTGAACTTCTAGCCATGAAATTTCTGTACCTCCAACAATCTCACGATTTCCGTTGAGGATCTCCTGAGTGCCCTTAATGATGGAACGCTAACTTACATCCTATTTTTTCCAAACCCGCAAACCCTTGTCCAGTGAATGTTTTCAACCGTACACGTTTGTGTGCTGTCAGAAAAGAGAATCTATATGGTGGCCTTCCTAACCCTCTCATTCACCTGGTTCGAACTAATATATTGCATGCAATTAATGTATCAACAAGCCCAAGAATATGTTCGTCATTAGCAAGGTAGGCCAAACGTTCTACAGGAAGTTAATATCTGTAGAAATTAGTTCAGACTCAAAGACAGCTGGGACCCTAAACACTCTCCACCGGAACACGGAAAAAGTCTAACCTATTGCGATTGATTAGAAGTAACAGAAAGTGACAAACTACACATAAAAGGCGTGTTTTGGGTTCAAAAGGGAGGATTGAGTTGAAAAATATCGTAATATTGTGGTTGAGTCGTCCGCCTAAAGTATTACACTCAAAAGATAGCAATTTTAATCCATGGCAGACGTGATATGCCAAACTGGGCTGAGATTTGCGTTACCTTAATTGTAAATTGATTGCGCTTTCTGTAATGGGTTAGCAAAAATGAAGTAAGAGGTCCAACCAGTTAGGCTGTTCTGAAAACGTACTCCCAATATCCGCCTGGCCACCATTTGATAGGCTATCTTATGAGCACGACCGTGGTAACGACGTAATCATGGGTAACAGAAAAAGTTGCTGACGCATACTATGGCAGACGAACAACGCGTTGTACCATGTGGTCACCTAACCTGGATGACAACGGAAGCCATGCGAAATAACTGATACTGAAAAGCTAGATGGAGGAAGCAACATACGATAGCACATAGGCATTAACGGAAAAAGTGATGGTGTGCTTAGGGTAAATAAAATGAGTTTGTGCGAGACAGTCACACTGGAGACAAAGATCGAACTCGGCAAAGTAAACACGAGTGACGGATCTATTCAGTTCATGTGATCAAATCAGTTAACGTTGTGCGACGTTGTATTAAAAAATTTGACATCCACTGGTGTGCTGATTGGTTAATCTGACTGAGAGGTAGACTGAGGGGTCTACCTCTCAGTCCTTCTGTTGGGTAGCTACCTCCACCCTGCTTTAGGTGGATGATGAGTGGAACGCACCCACAACTTGGGCTCTCATTCCAACAAGATGTCTTAATAAGTTGAGAACTGCCGAGGACCTTGATCTTCTACGGATCTCAACAGCTGGTGTGCGATAGTAAATTAGGCCAAAGGAGTTCTGTTCCAGTTACTAAGTCTCAATCCTCCTATTACCGTGCGGGTCAAGCTTCCCCTATTCATAAGCTCGAGTTTTACTATCACAGCAACTCCATACGAAGCTGGGATGTCAAGTGTACGAATAACGCCAAAAAATGACTAGTACCAATGAACCTCCCTCCGGAAGACAATTGTCCTAGAATGAGTACTGCTTTCCAGGATGGTCCCTGCGTAGGTCGCATTATGTAATACATCGCTACCAATCGCTCTCGGAAACGTCCCTTATGATAGTTTCTTTCCATCTTGCCAAACAGGTGTAACTACCTGAAACTACGTGAAGGACTACCTTTTCACTATAATTCAGTTTGGTTTCACCGTACTGTTTTGAAAACTTACCAGCTTGAGTTAAAATCGTAGCTGTTTAGTATGATGTCCGTTGTGATGCTATTGACGGACAAAGTATTCCAAATGAGTAAAGTCACCTTCGACATATGTGCGACATCACCGTCAGTCCTTATCTCAACAATATGCATCACTACCGCATGAAGACAAAGAAATCGTTCATGATTCATCAGCTTTCCAAGTGAAAAAAATGCTCTCAAGCAAGATTGGTTAGCTTCACAGAGCAAGCGATATAAACCAGTGATATTCAAAACAGAAGAAACCAAACAATTCAACGCTCACAAGACGGAGCTAATGGAATCACTCAGTATGCTGTTGCTTAATGCTGCAAGGATATCATGGTTGAAAATCGTAGTAAAATCGTAATAATAATAAGTGAAAATGCGAAGAAACCGAAAGTGTTAGCTATGAATAATGGTGGTATTAGGTAAGAGCTAGGATGGCTGCAAGGATATCATGGTTGAAAATCGTAATAGGCGAAGTGAAAATGAGAAGAAACAGGAAGTGTTAGCTATGAATAATGGTGGTATTGGGTAAGAGCTCGGACAAAAATTATTCGCCTCAGAATAGAAAGATGACTGGAATTTCCAGCGAACCATCCATGTCGAAAGAACTATGCGTGGTTTGTGACCCAATATGGAGCGAAAATTCGGTGATATTGTCCTCGGGACAGAAAGCAGTGTATGTGCAAACAAACAGACCCCCAAAAGCCACGTTCATAAAAATGCGCAAAAACGCACAAAGTGCATGCGAACTCACGAAGGGTGTTGGAGCATCTGGCCTGTCCCTACTGACTGTATAACAGAGAAGCCATTACGCAGAATTGGTTAACCACAATGAATCGATGGGAACTCATTTGTTGCCACACGCGGTGCACGTTAACTGTGTTCTGGGTAAATGATGTTGTAAAATAGGTGTCCAACCAAAGCCTCGCTGGAATTACTCAGTAAGTTGCATTTTAGAAGATGGCTTCATTCGGAAGGGATAAAACAGTTGTTTCGTGGAAATTTAACATCACAACTGACATGACAATTACACCCTTGTAAGCGTCAGTTTATCATTTACGGTATCATGAGAGTGAGGACAAATGGGGCCATGGTGCTTTTCACGCCCGTAAAACCAAATGAAGTTGGTCAGTCGATAGTCAATTTGTTTGAAACGATTGCCAGGAAGAGAAACCCTTGTCACGGATCGGTGGTGGATGGCTGAAAATATCCGCAAGTAGAGTATCCCGAAAACCCGCATCTGAGGACCGCCAATCAACAGTGCAAGAACGCCAGTATACTTGTGTTAGGAACTTACCTTCTGGTCTGTACTGTGTGCAGTTGAGCGCCAGTATGAAAAAAATTTACACTCAATCAAAACAGGTGACAGAATCATGCAGAGTTTAAAACACTTTTTCAGTGTAGGCACGCCAGCCCGCATCCAGGACAGCCAGGGTCTTGTCGAACATAACGAAAGTACCGCGGCTCAATTCCAACGGTATCCAGGCCCACGCGAAGATCAAATCAAGACATTTGTCAACTGGAACAGACAAGCGATTCCAAGGCAAGGTACAGTCTATCGAATGTGCGAGCTCACAGCTATATCTGTCAAGTGAAGCAAACAGATGATGCCATACACACACGGATGTACCACGCGATGTCGACCTCGTTCGTAAACAACCTAGATCCCGTTTGAAGCCAACTGGGGCTTGTGAAAACAACTGGAAGATCATAACATGAGTGGAAACAACGACAACAAGCAAAACGGTGAATGCAACCAAGTATCCCATTAATATCTATTTGGACGCAAAAAAAGTTGTTGAAATTCAACAGGAAATGATAGATGGCCAGGACTAGAGGGGGTAGTCCATGGTATGAGAGAAAGGTTCTCAACATTGGTGAACGCAAGCCAGACTTACTTTTTGGGTAACTACGTGAGTATTGGACAGTCAGTATACGTCCCCATAAAAGTATACCATGCATCTCATTGAGAGCTCTTGCTGCATCATCACAATCTGCATATGTAAACCAAAGTTAAGGGTATGTGCGACCGAGGGAATACAAGACGTTACCAGGCTAATCTACAGCCGAGTTGAGGAGCGTCTGTCTACTCACGAGCTTCAGTTTTTTATTAAAGGAAAATGTGAAATTACAGGGAAAATTGAGTCTTAAAGTCAGGAGATACTTTGTAGGCAATGGAAATTTAAAACACGAATATAGCACTTCATGAAAGTTTCATGTGCTCGGTCCAGAAAACAGTACTGTAGGGAGCTGGATCTGAGATGAACAAAAGATTGATGGCTGAGTCCTATAAGAATGATCGACAGTTCATGGTCGATTAGAAGTGCTTTTGGACGACTTGCAGTAAATTTGGTTTGCTGAACCTCATTTCATAACTTGGTGATCCCAATGTTAAAGCGGTGCGATCTTGTAATAATCAAATGGTTGTTGCCTACCTTGAGAAATAAGAATACGGCGACGCATGTTGGTGTTATTCCTAAGCACATGAACAACTTTTAATCTTCAGTGCCCAACCAGAAAGTCAGTGGAATTCGGAGACTTACACGAGTTTTTCAACATAGCTCACAGATGGGATGTTCTACGGTGTAACTGATAGGATCAAAACAGAACGCAATAAGACGACAAGAAACAAACAGCAAATGAGCCGTCCGTTTTACTGAAAAGGATATTCGACAAAAGCGTAACCCTTTGCTTTGGCCGTGTTCACATCCATGGGGATTGTCACGTTAACAACTTCACCGAACTTCTTGAATTCCAACCAGACGTCATTGTAGCTATAAAACGAGAGGAGAGACGGACAACTTATGAGCGAATACATATTTGTACTCAGTAAGAGACTTATAGTACGTATAGTTACATAAAGGGTTTTGGATGCCCTTCCTGCTCACATTGGAATAAGGACGGGGTCACAAACAATGAGATGAATCGTCATTTCGGATGTTCGTTGTATGAAAACGTCAGAATGTTAGGAGAGGATGGAGAACGAGGAACTACTGGGTCGAAATCACGAAGTACATGGAAGGATACAGCCTTAAGAGCCTTCCTCAAGGTAAAATTCGACTTCACAAACTCGAATAAAAACTTTTTTGTTGGATATCTGAAGACACACAGGAAACCAACAAGCACTGGGAGTCATATCTTTGGGAAAACCGACGGGATTTTAACAGAGAATCAGTGGTAAAAATTTTTCAGTCAGGCTTAGTCGTGAATACCTGCATCCGGCTCTCGAGACAGGCAAGTCCTCTAGCAGCATGCTATCGGTGAAGGACGTACATCCTACAACTCTAGCGAAATACACTCATCTGCGTACCAATTTGATTTTGAAAGGAGACTCACCCGGAATCCAGCTGAATCTATCATTTGTGATGTTCCAGGTGAGTCTTTCATCAAAACCAAGTTGGTACGTAAACGAGTGTACTTTGCTAAGTTCGTGCAATTTAGGTTCAATCAGAACGTAAGGCTGACGGAGACTCGGGGACTGAGCCTACCTGGTGAGCCCCAAAAAGGGCGAAACCGATCAAGGGCTGTCGAATAGTTTTCAGCAACCTTGTGAGTAGTGCATTACGTCTATCATACGCTTTTCCTCATACATAATGAAAATGCATTTTTTGAGCGACAACATAAACCTGTGAAATACACTTAGGTGATGTAAACTATTTCAAAAGTGCGGAAAGTGTTTCATCCACAAACTAATTCCACTACCCGCGATGTTCATAGGGGATCCGATAATTACCAATCAGTAGTACAGCGCCCGATCGGCTCCAGGAAAATGATGTATTCAGCTCAGGACAAGAAGTTCACTAGGTCATGGCTGAGCTCATTAAATGGATGCCCCCAATCACTAAACCAGTCGCAGGCTCCCAAGTCATAATCTTAAACCGTGTGCCCAATGAGAACACTTGAGGTCCAAGAACTGAAATGGTTTCTTAGGTTACCATATGCGAGAAGTTCGACAGGAAACTAAACCATTTATGGGCGATCCAGTAATTAGTCCTGTTACGTTATGAATATCCAGAAGGGTCATGAAGGCAGTTTTTACCTTTTCAGGGCGTTGGAAGGAGCCATGGAAGGATTGTGGGAGCGGTCTGGCTTAACTACGATAGAGAAAATGGAACCGCGATGCGATCACGACTTCAGGAAGTTATTATGCAACTGAGGTGCCAGTACAGTGCTTGCATTTCCAGTGGTATGGCTACCTGTTTATAAATGTATAAATTCGCATCATTAAGTGTAGCCGGCTCTCAAGAGAGGAAATACAGGGACAAACTCAAGGCTTGAGGAAAGTGCGAGCTTACTGCATAGGGCTTACTCATGGAAAGGAAAACCATATAACGGAAGAAGACGATCCAATAACCTAGAGAGCCATGTAGTCATTTTCACGCAGGTGTTCAGTACCGCATTGGCGCAGCGGTAAACAGTGGGATCCGTTAACCAGAGTGATACAAGACTGGTCCTGCTACATTTGCCTGAAGTCTTACTCAGGATAAAATGCACTACGGATTGCATTTCAAGATTAACCACATCTAGTCTTTATAAATGGGGACATCTTGGAATCCAAGTCCAAGGCTTGGTGTTTACCAAATCCTTGACCAGAATTGTGAGAAGTCTGAAATGACACGACTGCCCTCAAGCAGCCTAATTTTGAGGAGTTTATCCACATCTGTCAAATCAAATAATCTCGAATGAATGAAGGGTTTCAGACCTAAGGTCACCAGCTAAGCACTCCAAAATACAGAAAAATATAATTAATAGGGAAAAAAATCCTGTGGCTTACGTGATTGAGTCTGGTAAGTTCCTAATATGAAGGCAGTTCTTCCGAGGTATAAACATTCTGATTGCGTGGTAGTGGGTGTTCAACTGTTCAGTAAACGTCACCGTGGAATGTGCAAGCCGATGTGTGATGGTCCTGCAGAAAAGAACAAAGTGAGGCTACTTTGTCGTGACATGCTTCAGCATTGAAAACGCAAGAGAATATCGCAACTATTAGATGGGGTCATTCTCCACTTCTTCGGACACATCCGGTTCTTCAAAAACGGCTACTTTGAATCAACAAATAGTCCGTATGACCGAAGATATTTTATTCTGCGGTGAATCTTCCATGAAAAAAAGACGGCTTCAGTAATGGATTTAACTCATACCACTCATGAATATATACCGTAACCAAATCTAAAGCGAACGGCAGTTTCTCTGATGAAACCATGTAGAGCTTATGTTGGTTTGTTTTTACATTTTACTTGGTAGTGTAGGGCTGCATGAGCCGGTTCCGATGATGTCTCAAGTAACTTTCATCCTTGAATGGTGATCAGGTTCTTTCTTCCGAAAGCAAATCAGTGTGGTCAACATTACTGATGTGATGCTCTCACCACTCACGCAGTGCACTGACGACACTTTTAGTGAAACAACTTTTCCAAATTCCCGTTATATATTTGCTCTGTTTTTCAAACGTTTCATCATTTGTTGCTAGATCACTTTCTTCCGTTTTCAGCTCAGTGTCAAAGTTTTAGATGAATAAAGCCCAGTTTTCGGGCCCTCAGTCTTTTCCATTGTCATTCTGATTGCCGCTGCACTCCGACCCTCG